CCACCACCACACCCATTCTTCCTACACCTCCTTCAGTTTTTCCTGTAGCCGAGCCGGCCGTAGTGGATGATCGCATGCAGAGATATGATTTAACCTTGCTTTCTAATGCGTCGTCAAGTCCTTCTGATGTGCATGCAGGTTCCAGCGACTCGACGTCCTCTAGCTCTATGTCGCCATGCACACCGCATCGTCGCCATGCAGACGGGCCAGCTCCGACGTCCCCCGTCCTTCCGAGCGGGTCGCAGACTCCAGCCTCGTCTACAGCCGAGTCTTGCACCTCGCCTGGCCCAGACACGAGCTCTCCTGGCGCGGCGTCCCTAGCGTCTCCGACTTCGCCGAGCGAACAGGAGCCTCCTGCTGCTCCAACTCTGGAGCAGCGTCCGCCAGCTGCTCCTGCCACAGGTACTTCACATCCGATGATAACGCGTCTCCGAAATAACGTCGTGAAGACGCTGGTACCCACGAATGGCACCGTGCGCTATGATCCTCGGCGTCGGGCCTTTCATGCTGAGCCACGCACGTACCGCGACGCACTCCAGGATGAACAATGGCGCCCCGCCATGGAGGCCGAGTTCTCCGCTCTTCAGCAGAACAAGACATGGACTTTAGTTCCACGGCCGCCCGGAAAAAATGTTATTGGATGCAAATGGATTTTCAAGGTGAAGCACAAGTCTGATGGTTCTCTCGACAAGTTCAAAGCTCGTCTAGTCGCACGCGGCTTCACACAGCAGTACGGAATTGACTACTTCGACACCTTCTCACCTGTGGTTAAGCCTGCAACCGTGCGACTCGTGCTCTCTCCTGCAGTTTCCCATGGATGGCAGCTTCGTCAGGTTGACATTAGCAATGCATTCCTGCATGGTATTCTCATTGAAGAAGCATATATGCAGCAGCCACCCGGCTTCCAGGATCCCTCGCGTCCAGATTATGTGTGCAAGTTGCATAAAGCTTTATATGGCCTGAAACAGTCTCCTCGTGCCTGGTACGCCCGACTGAGTGAACGTCTTCAGCAGCTGGGTTTCTATCCTTCAGCAGCTGACACATCCTTGTTCATTTTTGCATGCGGTGGTGTCACCATATACATGCTGGTTTATGTTGATGATATAGTCATTGTGAGTTCTTCATCATCGGCCATGACACGACTTCTTCAGCACCTCTCCGTCACATTTCCTGTGAAAGATCTTGGCTCTCTTAATTATTTTCTGGGCATTGAGGTGCTTCGCAATTCCGGGGGAATCACTCTTAATCAGAAGAAGTATGCTCTTGATCTTTTACAGCGTACAGACATGGCAAATTGCAAACCAGTCTCAACACCGATGTGCACTCATGAGAAGCTTAGTCGGGAATCTGGTCATCGACTGTCCGAAGATGAAGCTTTTCGTTACAGAAGCACGGTTGGCGCTCTCCAATACTTGAGCTTAACACGGCCTGATCTCTCATTCGCCGTTAATAAGGTGTGCCAGTACTTGTCCTGTCCGACTGATATTCATTGGGAAGCAGTGAAGAGAATACTTCGGTTTGTGAAAGGGACGGTGTCGACCGGCTTAAATATTCGGCGCTCGCCTTCAACTCTATTGAGTGTGTTCACGGATGCGGATTGGGCTGGCTGTAGCGGTGATAGGCGTTCTACTGGCGGGTTCGCAATTTTCTTCGGTCCGAATCTTATTTCATGGAGTGCACGCAAGCAGCCGACCGTGTCTAGATCATCGACAGAAGCGGAATACAAAGCTTTGGCAAATGGTACGGCTGAAGCAACCTGGATACAATCATTATTAAAGGAACTACGTGTTCCTCAGCCTCGTGCGCCCGTCTTGTGGTGTGACAACCTCGGCGCAACATATCTCACGGCGAACCCGGTGTTCCATGCCGGCACGAAACACATCGAAGTTGATTTTCATTTTGTGAGAGAGAAGGTAGCCATGGGTGCTTTGGAGGTCAAATTTATTTCTTCAGCAGATCAAGTAGCTGATGCATTCACCAAGCCTCTCACTAAGGTTATGCTTACTCGATTACGTTCCAATCTAAACCTTAGCACAAGTTAAGATTGCGGGGGAATGTTAAGCAACGCATCCTTTGGATTCAGTTAGTGCTGCCTATTATGATCATTATAGCTTAGTGCTAGAATGTGGAAGGTCTAGAGACCTTTCTCTTAATTATCCACCATCGCTTGAGCTGTAACTGAACCTGTACTTGATGTATATAAACTGAGCAATACTAGTGTAAGCCATCACGGCATTTCCATCTAGCTGACTTACACAAGTCAACCCAACCGTTGTGTGACCAATGTAAGTGTTCTTCCCACACATTTCAAAACTACTACCGTCTGCTATTGCTATTTTCAGACAGATTGGTTGAATTCCACCACCGTGTGCGATAATTAACAACATCGCATACATTGCATCGAGTTGTATTGCGTGCGATATAGTTCACACAATTACAAAAAAAAAGACCGTGTGTGATATTTAAACTTCCACACACGATTTAGTAGGCATAAAGTGTGTGTACACGTATCGCCTTTCGCTCTGCAATATTAAAAAAAGAAGTCTGCGCCGACACTCCCTGGCATGGGGCGAGTCAATATGGGTTAACTTCAAACTCTGCTTCACTCTGTCAGAAGTTACTCTTTATACTTATATATGAATTTGGATCACAACATAGTGCAACTTATGGTGTTGGGAAATGTAGTAGAAAAAATCGCCATACGATCACTCAGGAACAATATGAAGATGCACGTAGAAAAATTCATGAACATATATGTTCATATGTGATACAAAAGAAAAGATAAATACCTAGATAAAATTGAGCTTTTTCTTTGTTGTATTTGGACTAGGTATTTTGTGTAGACTGCAAATAATCGCATTAGTTAATAAAACTTTACACATACTTGAAGAACATGTATATGTATTTGTAGAATTTTTTTTGGAACTTTTAAATAACTTATATTTTTTAAAAAGGGGCTCCGTGTAGCAAGTCCTGTGTAACGGCGCGCTCACCACACGATTTTACCTATGTTCCCATGTAACAACTAGCAGAAAATAGCAGCTGAGAGTAAGGGAAATACCCTTTGGTTCCTAGGTGTATATACACCTGATACGGGGAAACAATTAATAATTAAAAAATATCAAAAATAGAGGTTTTTTAGAATAAACCTTTTTGCACTAGTATATAAATTTTCACGAATAAAATTCTAGAATTGACTTTAGGGAAAAAATTATTGCTATCATAGGTCCCTATTCATGCTATTTTGGCTGATTTGTTTTTGAAAAGGTTACAACGTTTTTTTTATTTTGCTGGGATTTTTTTACAGGTACAATGGAGGTTCAATATTTCAGAAACATTTTCAGAATTTTTGGATTTTTCATTTAATTACTAAATTGTTTCTCCATGTAGGATGTATATATTTATTGACCAAAATATAGGATGTGTGTACACCATAGACCAAACGTTCCTGTCTGTGAGAGTAAGCAGCCCAGTCATCCAGCTGGCCAGTGGCCCATATGAAGATGGAAATGCAGCAGCCCAGTAATTCAGAAGGCCTCCAGGCTCCAGACGAGCTCTGGACCAATTTGTGCGAGAGCTCCTCTGCATATTTGCTAAAAAAAAAGCTGCTCAGAATCAGAGTGAGGAAGAAATTGTGGGAGCAACAGCAGAGGATGAGAGGAGGCAGCACCGCCGCCCGACGCCGTACGCCTGGCCCCGCAGCCGTCGGCTCGCCGGTGCACTCGTCCGCCGCCACTCGCCCTCCACCCTCACCGTGGTGGCAGGCTAGATGCAGCTCAACAACTAAGGCGAGAGATCCCGTTTCCTTTCAACAGGTTTGCTCTCGATCTCTCTGTCTTTCCGACTTATCTCAATCTCATTAGCTGAACAAGTGGTTTGCGGATCAAATTTGTGAAACCCGGATTGATTTTAATCAAATTATAAGTTAGGGTTTTTAAGGCCCATGGCAGCAGGCTAGCAGGTATCAGCTCAACAGCTTTAAGACGAGGCGCCGAGCACTAGCAGGGGCGATTCCAATTTCTGTCAACAGTTTTATTTCAATGTTAACTGAATAAATGATTCATAGACTCATTTTTGTTTTGTTTTGTTTTGTTTTATACAGATTGATTTCGAGGGAGGTCGGTTGAATTTTCTCAGGTTTCAGTTATGGCTCATTCGGAGAGAAAAAAGTATCCACTCCATCAATATCACGATACAAATATCGTATTCGAACCGTATACATACCCTTTAGCTTCTTTGAGAACTAAATATGCGCTTTGGGGCTCCTTTGGACACAAAGAAATTTCTGCAGACTGAAACTGTAGTAGGACTTGGTCAGTGCATGCCAAGTCTCTCCTTGACAGATACGCTATGCTCCGAACTGCTGTTCAAGTTCGGGCTAGTTGAATACTAGGTTCAGATGATAATGAAGTGTTGGCAGCAAAGAACCAAGGGTTGGTTCTCAGTCAAGTCTGTTTGATTGATGCAGCGAAAAATATGTGGTGATGCTTCAGCAACAACGACCGGACAGTTGGTTCTCAGTCAAGTCTGTCTCATAGAAAGATACATGGTGATGGTCCGCCAACAAAGATCCAAGAGTTAGTCAGACCTGTGTGGCGATGGCTCGTCAACAATGGCCCAAGAGATCTAGTGTTGTACCTGCCATTAGGAACCAGTCATGTTTATGTGATAAAGCAACAAAAGTTGCAACCCGATACAACGGATGGGGTGCATGGAATCGATCCAATTCTAGTGAGTGGAGCACTGGCCATTTTCTGTGGTAAAACATTTACTATTGACCAGCAAGGTTGACTTTGCTAACCAGTGTTCATTCCTGAGGATACAAGTCCCCCTAGTCCCAAATCGATCCCTCCTTTTTTGACCAGGAACCATGACTTTGATAACCAACAATGACCATGGAGGCAGGGGCAGAGCATAAAAGGAGTTTGCAGAGACATGAACTATTCAACTTCCAAGCTCAGCGTTCATTCCCGAGGTACAAGCCCCCCTAGTCCCCGCAAATGGAGATTTTCATTTCTGCGTTGATGGGTGAACTCATATCAAGATCCATGAGTTCCATCATCAACAAATACTCCAAGCCACCGGCGGAGGCCGTGGAGGCTGGCTTAGAGAGGATTCTACTCGGGGGGCAGGTCATCATCGACGAGGCCATGGGGCGGCACATCACAAACCATGGAATGCTCCAGCAGCTTAGCATGCTGAGGTATGCCATGTACCAAGGCTACTATGTGCTCGACACCTTCAGATGCCAAGCGTACCAAGAAGAGGAGAATATTCAGGCTGTGAGTCAATCTGGGGTCGTGTCCAAATTTCGTTGTGCACAATGGCTCTGTCTCTCCAGCGGCAGCAGCAAGAAAACATCAGAAGCGCTTGAAGAGGCCCTCGACGGTTTGAGATCCATGATTCTTGATGCCAGTGAGATGGTGAGGTTCCTGACAACATATCCTCGCTTGCATCGTCAGCCTTACAGCATGCATCTCTTGCTGGACAAGTGCATGTTTGCCCGCCAGAGGGAGACAGAAGTAGTTATGAACTTCCTTCTGTGCACACAATCTTGCACTGGTAGCTTCGATGTGCTCCCAATTGTTGGTCCAGAGAATGTTGGAAAGAGCACTCTTGTCGGTCATATCTGCGAAGACGAAAGAGTACATGATCGTTTCCCCCAGATTATTTTTTTCAGGCATGATAATTTCAGAGCTGAAGACGTAGCCGCTTTGAGAGGCAGATGAGCAGCAAGATATGAGAATAATGAGAGATTGCTGATCATCATCAACATAATTGGGGATCTTGATGAAGATCTGTGGGAAAACCTGTGCTCTCTTTGCCGACAGAGCACTACAGGTGGTAGTAAAATCATTATCACAAGCCGGTCTGACAAGATCACAAAGCTTGGAACAACACAGACTCTAGTACTGAAGCATCTGTCTGATGAGGCATTCTGGTATTTTTTCAAGGTGATTACATTTGGTAGTACAGATCCCAAGATGCACCCGAGGCTTGTGTATTTGGCAATGGAGATAGCAAAATTGATGTATAATCTCGCTGAAGCAAGCATCACTGCATGTGTATTGAGAGCCAATTTTAACATCGATTTCTGGTGCAAGGTTCTGGCATTCCGACGAGGGTGCATGCAGAAGCAGCTCTGTAAGTTTGGGGTGCATCCGTGTGAACTTCTCAGTGGGAATAAACCTGTGTATCTTCAACGAATGGGTAGAACTACTGAAGATGTTCTTGTTCTTGGTACTAATCAGACATGCTGTTCTGAAGAGGAAGTTCCCAAGATAATGGCCGTAGATGTTTTGTATGGAATCGCCAGGCCTCAAGGGGGGACATTTAAGGTCCTTCTATGGAAGTCTCGGATACCGCCCTACCATACCTACATCCAAACTTATGAGATTCGAGAGCTGCAAGCTAGAGCGGTGAAGAGGAAGCGCCCTCTGATGAATGGTATTAGACATGTTTAGTTTTGCTAATGTAAGTCGTCTATACTCTTGTGCTGCTATTTTCTGCTATGTTGTATAACTGAAAAATAAGGTATGCTATCGAGACATACATTTCTTTTATTATGCCCCTTGGCCAAGTTTCTTCAGAGTGTAACAAGTTGCGCCCTTTTGTTTGATTGTTATAAGCACCGTACACTGCGATGCCACCCTATGACGCTAATGATTCCTTCATTTACTGTTGAAACTACTAGCTCACAACATAGTGCCAAGCCTCTATGTAACTACAAAAACAGAGTGATCTTTTTCTTCCACTGAAAAGAATAATTATATGATCTCATGGGTTTTCTGTTATTGATATCCAGATTCTCATTGTTAAATCTTATCACTCTTATTCTCGGTAAGTATGGATGTGGAGTCGCATCCCGCTAACCGAGCTACTAGTCTATGCTGATGACAGCAAACATACTTAGTTAATACTCCTTCCGTCCCAAAATACTTGTCCAATGAAGGACGCGGGCTTACGTGGGACGTCGTGACAAGCAAGCCTGGTGATCTCTAGCTAGCTAACCACGGTGGAAAAACTCAGCATGGATTGTGGCCTCCCTGTGAATACCACAATCAGCCAGGGTCCATGGATCCTGCAGGCATTTGCCACCGTATACTAACCCACAAGAGTCCGTTAGCTTCTTCCTCGCCTGGATCTTACTCCTGACGGCAGCGACCGTGTCAGAGCTTGCCACGTCAAGTGTGATTGTCTCACCTGCAAAGATCCTGACAAAGATCTGCATCTTCTCCATGGAGGGCGCACCCATTCTTCTTTCCAAAGGCGGCAAAGGTGGCAACTGTTGTGCTTCCTGCATAAACCTCCCCTTGAACGCATCCGTGAGCGCAGTCTTCGAATTGACCACCGCTCGCAGTAGCGCAACAGCCTGTAACAGATTGCGACACATTATTATTCAGAAAGAACTATAAAACAACTGTTAGGGCATGTACTATACTAGACTTGCCTCTTGTTTGCTGATAGAAATGTCCATCTCCACCAGGTCTCTCTTGTGCCAGTGCTTCAGCACCGACACTGCAGAAGCCTGATACATACGAAGGTCATTGTCAACCACATATGTGTGATTCCTGACAAACTCAGGATGGCACGAATGGCATGATCTTTTATCTTTCCCGAAGGAGCGGCCTATCTTGAACGGGTCAAGGCTTGGGTCCAGCAGCCTCTTTATGTCACGAAAGCAGGGGCCTGTCAAGAATCCAGCCCTGTCTAGACCGACAATGCTCCTGCAAAGATTGTTGAAACTGCCGCACAGATGAGAGGTGTCGGCCAGGTTCTTCACGATGCATCCCATGGGGTAGGTCAGGAAGCTGAGGAGCAGGTCTACGAACTCGTGCTTGCACTCTGCATACATGACCTTCCTGTCCTTCCTGTCGTAGAAAAGCTTGATGAGGACCTGTGGATGAGATTCAAAAACTGTAGGATCGCCGGTTTCTTGATATGAAGGCTTGGGAATCGTGGGTAAGAGCTCCGCGAGTAATGATCTTTTTGCCAAAACTGTGCGAACAGCTTGACCATTTCCTTTCGCGAGAAACACGTCGGTGAATATTGTGGTGGATGAGATGCAGGTCTTGAGCAAGGAAACCACCTGAAATTTATGAAAAGAATTCAACCATTAGTGATAGGTAGCTGGTAAGCATCAGGCCTAGCAAATTCAGTTTGGATCAGCTGTCTGAATCGTGCCACTTCCAACCATTCTCAGTCCTTATCTCAAAATCACTTCATGGCTTCATATAAACTACTATTACTATTTCACAAACATTTCAGTTAAGTTACACACCTTCTAAAAGAGCAATCTTCGGCTTATGGTATTTAGAATAAAATGCATCGACGGTGATTAAACTTGTGACGAAAACTCAGTTTGATCACATTCTTGTCACTGCCAATGTATTTTACTCCCTCCGTTCCTTGAGTTTTTACTATGTTGGAAATTTCCAGTGAGTTTTTTGTGGCAAGTTCAGTTACCGCCCATGCATTTGCTCTAGTATTTACTAGTATGTTGGAAATTCTGGAGAATTAACAAAAGAATTATGTTTACCTCGGTCCATCCAACGTCGACGTCCACCTCCTCGTAGCCATCTCTGATTCCAAAATCTGCGCCGAGCCCCCTTAGAAAAGACACCACATTGCTCGTCGACGCATGTTTGATCACCAAGTCGTCGCTGATCACAAAACGTTCTTTCCAGTTGGAGAACACCTCTTTGCGTGGTGTTTGGTTGTACACATGCACCAGCCTAGCCATGGCGATCTCCCAGCATTGCGTGCAACTTCGGCGGTGTCGCTGTTGGCCAATATGTTTTTCCACGGAAGAAGTACACGCTGAGCAGAGAGAACGATGGCACCTGCACACGTATAAGAAGAATTCTCATGCATGCATATAATATAACCAATGCAATAGACAGACAGCAATATCAATCTTGTGATAATCTGAAGAAATCCTAGATGTAAATTGGTCGCATGTAGTGCAACCGGTATATAAGACGAAGAAAAAGAATGAGATACATACCCGAATTCGTCCTTGTGCGTTGGCCTGTGAAGCGTGCCATGGCAGGCGTCAACCTTCAACAGTTGGGCGTCGCGGAGGCGGTCGACGCTGCCGCAGAGGTTTGCCAGGCAGCCCGGCGAGGACGATCCTGCGGCGAGCTGGACGGCAGATAGGGGGAGCGTGAGGAAGCCGAGGATGACGTCGACGAAGTCGGAGCCGGCATCGGCGAGCAGGACGCGCTTACGCGACCTGTCCACGACGAGCTTGATCTTGATGGCGGCCATAGCCGGCTGAGATAGGAGCGATGGCACGTATGGTATGGGTATGGCGGCCGTTTGCTCAACCAAACCAAAGGAATACGAGACGGTTTGTAGAGTCCCAAGAGTTTTTGCCCCGGCCTCTTCGAGTTCCGGGACCACCGTTAGTTACTTCTCCAAATTCCCTCGCGCATTACTCTTCGTCTTCGTCTCTTGGTCGACGTCAGTGTGGCTACTGCACCTATGGCCAGCATCAAGATCAAGCTGGCCGTGGACAGGAATCGGAACCGCGTGCTGTTTGCCGACGCGGGCTCCGACTTGGTCGACGTCCTTCTCAGCTTCCTAACTCTCCCGCTCTCCGCAGTCCAGTTCTGCACAGCAGGCGCGACTTCATCCCCGGGTTGCCTCTCCAACCTCTGCGACAGCGTCGTCAACCTTAGGGAGAGTAAGCTGCTGATGGTTGATTCCTGCCACCGGATGCCTCTCACGCCTTCGAAAGAGCATGAGTTTGGGATCTATGGGTATATATCTTTATTTTTAATGGAGCAGTTGGTAATCTTCGCCGGTCAATTTTCGTCCCACCAGAGACGGTTAATTTTCGTCCTCCATCCCACCTCCTGCTACCCAGCGATCCCCCCTTCCTCCCTTCAGACCGATCAAAAAAAAAACGGCATGCTACCACGAGGCCCGTTATGAAACACTACGGTTCCGCGACAGAAAATCGTCCTAAAAATCTACGACGGTTAACCTACGAAAATTAACCTAATCGTACTATTCCCAACTGAAACCCTCGCACCCGAATCGTCGATGCACTTGCCCGTCGCCATCATTCGTCCCTATCGTCCCTACGTACACGCACGACTCGAGCAGCAGTCGTGAGACGCCACCCTCCATCCATCGCCCCAGATCCACCCCTTCGCCGCCGCCGCTTCATCCATTCGCCGCCGCCGTTCCATCGCTCCGCCGCGGATCCATCCCTTCGTCGTCGCCCCGCACATCAAAGCCACCGCCCTCCATCGGACCATCCCCGTTTAGGACCCGCCGCGGATCACGTCCAGGATCCTGAATTCTCACTGGACCAAGGCGGCGTCCACCACGTCATGGTGTTATGCTAGCGGCGATTGAGAGGCGATCCGGGCTGCTAGGGTTTAACCATGGCCTGGTCATGCTGGCACTGGAGCATGTGAGGTGAGCGCTGCCGGACTCGTCCGCCTCGCCATCATTGATGATCGCGTCGGCTGTGGCCACGTCCCTCGGCTGTGATGATGGAGGGAACCGCCATCACTGCCAGGCTCTCCACCCATGGACGCGTCGGGTCGCTGCTCGGGGCCAGCCCCCCACTGTGCTAGATCGCGCCTCGGCTTCAGCAGCCTGACCGTAGGGCGAAGCAACAACACACTCATACAGCAGGGATCAGGTACGCCATTAAATTTTCCTGCGTGATGTGTAAGTAGACGATCTATTTGTAGTTTTTAGTATGCTTGAT